ACGCTGTGCCAGTCTTTTCTGCTCAACGTAGGTTTTGGGCGAGGCTTTCCCGCGGCATGCCGAAACAATGATGAAAGAAAGACCCGAAAACTGTAGAGGTTGCGCAAAGCTGCCTGCCACAAGAACTGTTAAGCAGAAATCACGTTGTCTTACCTCAATAAAACTGCCATGTTGCCCTACCCCCCCCCCGGCCAAAGACTACAAAGGCATGGCAGCACCGAAGCCCCACACACCCAAACCTCGACCGAAATCCAAAAAGGCCATTTTATCCGGAAAACTGTAAAGACACGCTGCCGGACAATCAAGCCATCAAATGCAAAACCTTGTTTCCGTCGTGGCAAAACCACCAAAAACCACTAATTACTAGTTCCAAAGATAAAACAATGACGAAAGCAAGACCCGAAAACTTTCCAGGTTGCGCAAGGATGACTCCCAAAACAAGAACTATTAAACTGCCATTTTGCCTTAAAAAGCACCCCTGCTATCGTGCGGGTCGTTTCATGTGGCGCTACATGCGTTACCTAGTTTCTGGCCCACCTTCTGCCACCCGTCGCCGCGAAGATGTCAAACGCCGTGCATATTCTTCTGGCGAGAGCGACTGCCTGTCGAGTACAAGCGAAGCATCCTGGCTACGTGGCCATGAAAAAGTACAGGACCATGCCTCGCGTCACCCTCCAGCATGGGCTCCCATCTAAGCTGAGACTCCTGCCATGGAAGCACTGGAAATTTCCAGCGAAAACACGCTCACGCCACCAGCTCGGAATTGTTATCGGGTAGCGTAACTTCACAGGCTCAGCTGAAGCACCGTAGGCATTGCTGCTGGCACGGCAACTTCAGCATCATCACCTGAGGCTGGCCATGCGCCGTGGGCAGCGAATGCATGTCACATCCCCCTCACACGCGCACAGTTTGCTAAACAAGGCTCTCAGCTCCGGCTCTTCAGCAGAGCTGGGCGAGGTGGGAAAGCGGGTATGATCCAATCTGTCCAAGGCTGAAGGCAAAGCCTCGCCCGGAACGTCCTCTGCTCCAGTACACTGGCACAGACAGAGCATATGAATATGAGAACAAATCGCCGAATGGCTTCTTCACTTCTTCACACAGCCGGCAAATCAAATGCGCAGATCACTTCAGGCTGCAACGTCTGGACTGGAAAGCTACCTGCATATGCTTCAAGCGACTTCTATGGGCGGTGGCTCGACGACCTCAGCTTCGAACACAAACTCAAATCTCTGTAGCTGGTCTGATGGCACACCGCTCGGACAAGTGAGCCCATTGAATCAAGCAGGTGCATGTATTAGATTCGCCCAAGCACGTGGAAGAGCGTAGATCCCACTTTGAAGAGGTCGCCAATTCGAAGCACGTACCGCCTGGATGGCTGACCTTGTCTGCTGCAAGCGAGGATACGATTCCGAGCACACGTGAGTACAGAAAAACCAAGGTTGCCGGAGCGACGAAGCTTTAGCTATCAAGCTTCAACCTGAACCAACCCGAACCAAACAAACATATGGTCACTGTTCTGTTGTGGTTTCCTCTTCCCTGTACTTCGCGGAGCAAGCATCCATCTGCGGCCAAGCGTAGCCACGTGCGATTCGTGGAGTACTCATCATCCAAGATGAAGCCATGGTCGGGGACGGGGCGAACCTCCAGGCACGAGCACTGCAGACAGGGCTTCAGGCATCAGCTAAAACTCCAGTTGCTGCGCTGCATCGCACCTTGCAGTGGAATGCAGAGATCTGAGGATCTCTGATGCAAAGTCCGTTTCCAGCCTCGCAGTGCCACGACAAGCAGGGAGAAATCACAACTCTGAGCCATGTCCTGACACAGCCCTACTTAGTAGGTGGTCTGACAGATGAATACCGCCAAGCCGTCTCCGCTGTCTTGATCCTTTTGTCGTGTGGTTCTCTCTTTTTGTTCCGCCCTGGCCTTAAGTGGAAGTCCCCACTCTTGCTTGCGTGCTTGCTTGCCTGGGGTTTGGGTTTTCGGGGGAACCCCGGCCCGAGGGCCAACCCCTGCTGTGCGCGTCTGAGTTACGGAGCGGCCCCTTTCGGGGTGAGGACTTGTCACCTTCCCCCGGATATACTTGACACCCAACCCCCGAAAGCACCCTTAAGACCACCACTGCAAGAGACCAGTGGGCACCACCCGGGTCTTCAGTGGGTTCTCAAACGGGCGGTGATTGGTACTGGGGCGATCAATGTATATACACCAGTAAGACCAACTCACGTACAGGAAAAGCAAGACCCAGCGCAGACCACTCTCTCTCTCCCTTCTCTTTCTTTCGGCAGGGCTATGAGCAAGGGAGAAGCCCCCTTGCCCGCTTCTCTCTCTCTCTCTCTCTCCCTCCGTCCCTCTCTCTCTTTGCAAGGCTTGAGGACGAGTGCAGGTCAAGCACCCCACCCCACCCCACCCCCCCCCCCCAAGTCTACGCGCACCTGCATGTCCTGGCTGATGTTCGAACCCTTCGCAAGCGTAGGGTTTCTCCCGACACAGAAATAACCGCAAAAGATAAGTTCCAAGACTCACCAACATTCTCTGTTCTGTTGTTCCCTCTCCGTTGCAGTCACTGCCTCCGCACCTCCCATCCCCGAAGCCTGTGTCTGTTTTCTTCCACACAGCCAAGAAAGGGCGGTTCCCCACCCCCTCTGCGCTCGCCCTGGTCTCAAGGTCTTTGTTTGTTCGTGTACGTGTACGTGCACGTGCTTGTGCAAGTGCATGTATGTCTATGCAAACGTATAGAAAACTGCATGTACACAGACAGGCAGAGACACACAGTCGCATGCAGATGAAGAGATACATAGGCTCACCTACATACATGCGCATGTGCTAGCGGTACCGGGACATCGCATACCTTAATGGCGGCATGGCAGAGTGCCTCTCTGCCAATAGCGAGGCCTTGCGGAGGCACCAGCGCGCTGATGTCCTGCCGGGCGGATGTTCACACCCTGTCATCCCTGTCGACAGGTTGTCTGGCCGTATACATGCAGTTGGTCGTCCTTGTCAGGACCCTCTGTTGCGAGCAGCGTGCAGCAATCCCCTTCAATGTACACCGTCAGCTCTGTGGTACCCAGCCTGACTGAAATAGCATCGAGATGAGGCAGCGCAGATACAGTGAAGCTGAAAATTTGTCATCTCGTTCATGGCACAAACACCGTGACACCTGAGAGGAGAAAACTGAACAGATTAGTCTGGGAGCCCTGCCCGAAAGCTGATTTCATGCACCAACTGCTGAAGACTCATCTCTGGACCCGAAAACATGCCAATGAGCCTTAATTACCACAAGCTGATTTCCTGTGCGAGCTGCTGGATAATCATCTGATGGTCCAATGGCAATTCTTCCCGGACCATAAGAAAGGTGCCAGTTGTACTTCCGACATCTTGCAGAAGGTACTGCCCGCTGCGGTCTCGGAGAATTAAGAAATGCCGTCTTGACCTGCACTCGAGCGGAAACCCGTCGCTGTAAAGCTGACACAAGCGCAGCCCAGGCACACATAGTTCTCTGAGAGCACGATTCCGTTGGAAGCGCAGTGGCGGCCACCAGTGACCTTTGCAGATGTGCACAGCAGATTTTGCAAACAGCAACACGCAAAGATTCACCCCCCCTTGCTGCTTGTCGAAATCAACATGCCAAGTCTGAACACCCTCACACAGGGCAAAGGATTGCACGGGCTGGCATGCAATCGAAGGGCCCCGCCGCTGCCCACCAAAAAGACACGGCCGGCCACAGGGCCCTCAATCGCGTGCAGTGCAAGGCCGGATTCAAGACCGCTTCCTTGATGGAAACACCTGCAGACACACCCAGGGGATGGGGAAAACGTGCAAGTAAAGACTAGCAAGAGAGATAGGTAGACAATTACATTAATTGATTACATTTGTTCGACACTGGAAGGGTACGTTAGCACTCAGCAAGAGTTGGAAATATTTGCGTATCACCCCAGGGTGGATTAGTGTGTGTGTGTGTCTGTCAATGTCTATGTAAGGGTCTACATATGTCTACATGTGTTTACATGGGCCGTGCGTACCAAGTGTATGCATATCTATATACAAGTAAATTATCCGTGGACCGTTCGTGTTCTCGGCCACGATACGCTCGCGTCCGCCCGCGGCATCAACTTGGATATTCACTACTGGTAGCTCGCGTGTGTGTGTGTGTGTGCGCATGTGTTTCTGTTTCTTTTTGGCTTCATAACCAATATGCGACGCTTCGGTTACACTCGGTTACCATACCGTGATGCATATCAACCTATGTGTTCACAGTGTGTGTATGTGTGTATATATATATATACAGAAAGCGTCGCACTATCTATATATATATATATATAGATAGCTTATGCACATATATATATATAGGGAGAGAGA